TTTCATATGACATTATTTTTCTTACTTTTACTTCCTATATTTTTTCTCTTGATCAAACACTGATTTCCCTCTGAGGAATGGTCACTCATCCTGAAACGTTAACTGGTACTTCCCTCCACAAATGCTGCCAGACCTGCCGAGCTTTTCCAACAATTTCTGTTTTTGTTACTGATTTCCTTCACTTTATTTCTCTTTTTGTGCCTAATGCACATTGTATTCACCCAATCTCTTTTATCCTACTCCTCCATTGATTCTGTTTCTTCTTCAATCCTTCAGTCCTAGTATATGAAGACACAGTTTACTGATTCCCCATTGCCATTGCCATTATTATTACACGCTTGCAGCAAGCTATTGCACAAAATAGTTTTAAGTTTGTAGGGAAAGAAAATGTCAAACCAATATCTCAAGCACCCCTCCTGCAAAATTTGCCCTATTTCCTGATGAGTTCTATACAATATGCATTACAGAATAAGGGAGAGGTGATACAGGAGTACTGATTTGGTGACCATTGCTGGCCAGAGAGGCAGGGAAAACAAGGGTCCTGCTGGAGTGTGCTAATGCATTTTGAATTGATGGTTGGGAAAGATACTTCTGGCAGTGATTTGATTGTGAAAAAGTTTTGAATATTGGCTATTGAAAATTAAGATTATGTATCATATATGAAAATATATAGTACTGTACGTGCAATACAACAACGTCTGTCACAATATAATTCAGTCTAAAAATACCCCACTACAAATTGCACATTAGAACACTTATTTTATTGATTGGTATTCTATGCTGTTGTTGCATACATTTTGAAACCACGGTCAATTTTGTTCTTTCCTGATTAGCTCCTTTTCCTTTGTTCAGCTCTAATAATAGTCTTTGTCTTTGGTATTAAGAAGAAAGATAATGTGGGGCCTGACTCAGATTCTTCCGTAATGAGGGGGAGGGGTGAGAACAGGAGTATCTGAGACAGAAAGAAAATTCAATGGATTAGTAATTGTATTATGCAATATCATGACGAACACATCAGATCATGATTCATCTATCAATTATCCTAATAACAGTTAAAAAAAATTATAGACTGACACCTGCTTCCCTGCAATTTGGTGCACTTAATTTGTTTTTAGCCCTCTTACCTTGTATCCACTTATTTCATTTCACTAGCATATTGCACTGGTGACATGTAGTCATGATTTTCTCCAAAGATGTAACATCAAATTACATGGTTCTTTTATTGCTGTTGCTGCATATTATCAACTTAGGGAGTTTAGATGTTATTTTTACATCTTGTGGCACGTTGAAGCCAGCACAGCTCTAACAATATCTGAAATGCTGTATATCTATAAGAGAAGTAAGTTGTCAGATTTGCTGGGTGTAGGCGCAATCCTTGGAAAGGTCTTGCGCTTGGAACAGCGGGAGGGAGATCTAAAAAGGATCACAGTTGCAGATTCAAACAGCAGCAGTCATAGGGCCCAAAAACATGAACAGTGCCTTCGGTGGTTTGATGGGTATTGGCATTAAGGAAAGATGTGTTGAGGATTATCAAATCAGCCATGATCTCATTAAATGGCAGAGCAGAATCAAAGGGCTGAATGGCCTACTTTTGCTCCTCTGCGTTATTGCCTTGGGCAGCCCTCTGTAATCCTTGATAGTCCCAGCACTAACCTCAACAGCATTTTTATTTTTCAGATACTGAATATCTAGTAAGCCTTCGTGGTGAAACTCAGGAATAGACCCTCCTCCTCACTAACATTGTAATGTTGAACTTGTTACATTTCCAGGTTCAGGTCTTAGTATTGTCATTGGGAAGTTGTAGAGGTCTTGGAGTAGCACAATAGGGTAGGCACCAGAAGCAATGAATCTCTAACTCTTTCCTGTTAGCTAGATCTGGCAACTGAGCAGCCTCAGACAAAAGCAACTATCCTTTTCTAACACACATCTTTATTAACTAGGAGCTGAGAGCCACTTGTGAAGAAGACATATATGGTAAACTGTGTGACTGTTCTACATATGCAAATAGGTTTTACTTTAATTGTATAAGACACTGTTGTGACTGCATTTGGGGTACTGCGTGCAGTCCTGATCCTCTTGGGGATATACTTGCCGTAGAGGGGGTGCAGCAGAGGTTCACTAGACTAATTCCTGCGATGGCATCATTGTCCTATGTGGAGATTTGAGGAGAACTCCCCTCTGGACGTGAGAAGAGTGAAAGATGATCTCATAGAGATGTATGCAATTCTTAAAATGAGTAAATGCAAAAAAGGATGGCCAGGAGTTCTAGAGCAGGGGACATGAGGACAGACTTCTTAACTCAAAGGATGGTAAATCTTTGGGATTGTGTAACTTGTGGCTGTGGAAGCTCAGTTATTAAGTAAGTACAAAACAGCTTGGTAGATTTCTAGTGACTGAATTCATCAAAGGATATGGATCTAGTGCAGGAATATGACATTGAGGCAGATGATCTGATATGGTCTAAAATCACAGAGGATGCTCAAAGGTCTGAATGACCTCATTCTGTCCTGTGTCCCAGCTGAGATATCATACAAATGAAAAGCTGTTTCTTACTCATGAACAAAGCAGATTTACCTCTTATATATTGGTTGTGCTCCTGGGCTAAGCATTTATTCTTCAGATGAAAGACTATGCCATGACCCTGTCTCTTCATTCCAGTGGTCCAAGTGGATATTACGAGTCCCAGCACTATTTGAAGTCTGTTAAGGAGTTTACCTGTTATCTAGCCTGGGAATTCTCCACCATCTAAAAGATTAACTGACTATTCAACTTGTTGGTGTTTGAGGAACTTGTTGGTACAGATTATCTCCGCTTCAAAGTGATTAACAATGTGAAGCTCTTTAAGATGAGCTGGGGGGAACGAAGCACCTTGTAAATATGATTATTTTTATTGCCAGCACAATCTGCCCAGTGTATCTTATTGATGTAGAATGACTGAGAAATAGCCACTGTGCCAGATGCCAGTGAACTTTCAAATTTAACTCCATATGTACGGTTGGAAACTTTTCATGATTCTGAGAGTCTCCAGAAATTAAATTTTTTTTTTGCTGTTGTGAGCAACCAAGGGAACAAATATGGGTGTTAAAGAGACCTTGTAGGTTTTTTTCATTTACTTTTCACACTATTGTTTATGAGTTGTAACCGTACTGGAGAAGGGTAAGAAAGGCTGTTTTTGTTGGGTGGGAGGTGAGTGGTGGCAGATCATGTGATGAAACCCCCAGGAATGCCTCCATCTTACCTGAATGTGCTATGCATTATGTTGGCCAGAAAAAGTCAGGACTACCATTTGACACTGAATAATGCAATGACTGAGATAAAGGAAAAGAACAGGCATCCAAGGAGTTGTTAGAAAGAGTAACCAAAAGCTAAATCAAAGGAATTATTTTAAAACGAGGTCTTAAAGGAAGAGAGGCAGCAGAAAGACCTGCAAAGGGAAGTCCCAGATGTGAAGGCTGGAATCTTTGTGCAGTAATTGAAAAGAAATGGGATTCATAAAATTCTGACATGAAGTAGAAAGTATTGGGTTTCCCTATGAGCATTTTTTTTTACGAATCAGACCAAAAAATTTAGTTTCTCCTCAACTTTAATCGATGTCCCGATTCCTTATATAAGAGACAAGGGTTAAATGGTTGACACAGAGCAGCCTTTTTCTGACAAAGTGGGTTCATGCTCTGCCACCGAAAGAAGTGCCAACATCTATTGAATGGAGCGCTAATTGTCCGGAGACAACTCTTTCATTCCCTCGCTCCAGCAGAAATCCTGCCTTATTGCACTGCTGGCCAGTTGCACCACTGGGATCAGTGGCCACTGCTGGGACTACATGCAGTCCACAAGAATCAAAGTTCTGGAGCCCGCAAATCGTGGGGAATTGCAAGGTCTCACAGTGACTTGTGGAGGGGGTGAGGGGTTTGTGGGGAAGGAGTACCCTGGAGGCTCCTACTGGGCACCCAGTCTTGAAGAAGGGCCAGTAATGAAGGTGCCACTGCGCCCTCCCCAACCAGCCCTTATGTAGCCAATAATTGGCCACTCAAGTGCTTTGTTGCCAGGCTGGCAGGGGAGAGGTATGCAAGGATGGTGATTAAACCCGCCCAGGGAATTTTACAGGACCTTCTGCCTGCAAATCATCAGTTGTCATACAAATCATGCATGTCCTTCAGGAAAGGAAATCTGCCATCCTTACCCACATGTGACTCCAGACCCTCAGCAATATGGTTGACTCTTAAATGCCTCTGAAGTGGCCAATCAAATCACTCATTTTAAAGGCAATTAGGGATGGGGAGTAAATGCTGACTCATCCAGAAATGCCCAAATCCCATGAACAAGTAAAAAAAACTACTGTGGGGTCCTTTAGGATTCTACCTCTATTCTCTAGGAAACATTACCATTGAAGTTTCTGTTATATAATTTTAATGCAAACAAAATGTAATCATCAACAATAAATAAACTTCATTATATATTGTTTGATGGCCCTCTTTTTAAAACGAACAATAAATTATTCCAGCACATGGCACATTCCTCCACAGCTCCCTACTGCACTGATTTATTTTCATTGATTCCTTGCACTTTGAGCTCTCTTCTGTTGTTCAACATTCTTGTCCAGCTTTGTTGCCCCTTGAAATTTGACATGAAATCATGAGAAATTGAACACTGATCCTTTATAAAAAGTGCAGTCAGAGCATGTTAACAGTATTTTTCGTAATTGTTAATGAAAAGAATGAAGAGACCTGTATAATTATCCTGTTATTCTACAGATGCTTTGCACTCTTGAGGTTTCTGACAATCAGGGAAAATAACTTTTCTTTCCCAAAGAAGAGCTGGCCAGGACATAGAACTGTTTCACACTCTGCAATATTTGGATAGTGTTGACAGCATTAGTAGCCCATTTGCATTCCCTCAATTTTAAGAAGATATTGACAGCAGAGAGTGTTGCTCTGAAATAATTGTCCTAGGCTCATTGATTTAAAATATGATCATAAAATATGCACTTTATGTTGCTTCAGATAGGAATGTTCTCTATCGAGGATGTTTCAAGATACCCAAGAATCTAACTGCAACTTTCCCGGTCTACTCAATCCAGCCTAACTTGACTGTTGCTAAATGCACTGAGTTCTGCACAAAAAAGGTAAGTGTAGCCTTTCATTAAGAAGAGCAAGAATTCTAATTACATGTCATGATTGGGCCATTGTTATGGAAGTGAAAGGTTTGAGTTATGTGGAAAGTTAATGAATATTGGAGGTGAGTGAAGTTTACATTGCACTGAAGATTGATTTGAACATTAAGACTAGGTATGATGTTTGATGGATATTCCAATGGGAATTGAACTGTTAATTCTGATGTTTTGGCTTGGGCACGAGCCAGTCTGAAGAAGTCAGAATGCTCTGGCTATCATTGCATGGGGCAAGACTGAATAACCAGCTGGAGTTTTTTTGCACATCTATTTTGTATCTTCACGTCTTTATTTTTTAATGGTGCTAAAACAGTGATTGGACAATTATTGCATTCATTTGAATTTTAAAAGTCCTTTGTTAGAGAAATCATAGTCTGAACATAATATTGATTGCTGCAGAAAGAAACATCCCAATAAACACAGACTAGACATCAATAATAATCTCTTTTTAAAAAAAAAAATAGATTTACTGAAAATGCTGCAGAAACTCAGCAGGTCAGACAGCACTGAAAGAGAAACAGACTGATTTTTTTTTAGTCCAATTTGACAGAGGGGGAGGAGGAAAGAAAGGAACAGATGATGAGTGTGTTATGGCAAGTGGTGAGGGAATCAACAAGAGGGGAAAACATACTTGACCTCATCCTCACCAACCTACCTGCCGCAGATGCATCTGTCCATGACAGGATCAGTAAGAGTGACCATAGCACAGACATTATGGAGACAAAAGCTCACCTTCACATTGAGAATACATCATGTGCTTACATTTCAAACAGATGTGGAGGGAGGCGATGGCCTAGTGGTATTATCACTGGACTGTTAAGCCAGATAATGTTTGTAGGACCTGGGTTCAAATCCCACCACAACAGTTTGAATTTAATTTAAAATTAAATCTGGAATTAAGACTTTATTGATGCTCATGAATCCAATGCCAATTGTCAGAAAAATCTATCTGGTTCACTGATGGCCTTTCGGGAAGGAAACTGCCATCTTTACCGAGTTTGACCTGCACATGACTCCAGACCCATAGCAATGTGGTTGACTCTTAACTGCCCTCTGGGAAATTAGGGATCATCAATAAATGCTGCCTAGCCAGTCTACAACCCTCATCCTATGAATGAATGAAGGAGAAAAAAGCAACTCAAGACTCGGCATCCATGAAATGCTGTAGGCCATTAACAGCAACAGAATTGTACTCCAACACAATCTGCAACCTCATAACCCAGCATGTGCCCCACTCAACCATTACTATCAAGCCAAAAGATCAACCCTGGTTCAATGGAGAGTGCAGGAGGGTATGCCAGGAGCAGCACCAGACATGCTTAAAGCTGAGGTTTTAACCTGGTAATGTGATTTTAAAAAAAAAAGGGGCTACTTGCATGCCAAAGAACATAATCAGCAAGTGATAGACAGAGCTAAGTGATTTCATAACCAACGGATCAGATCCAAGTGCTGCAATCCTGCCACATCCAGTTGTGAATAGTGGTGGTCAATTAAGCAATTCATTGGAGAAGGAGGCTTCACAAATATCCCTGTCCTCCATGATTGTGCAACAAGTAAGGCTGAAGCATTTGCAGCAATCTTTAGCCAGCAGTACCAAGTGGATGATCCATCTCAGCCTCCTTCAGAGGTGATGTGGAGGTGTCGGTGTTGACTAGGGTGGACAAAGTCAAAAATCACATGACACCAGGTTATCGTCCAAGCTAGTGTTTTCAATTAAGCCTGTTGGACTATGGCCTGGTGTTGTGTGATTTCTGACCTCCTTCAGAGGTCCCCAGCATCACAGATACTAGTCTTCCAATTCAGTTCACTTCACATGACATTGATAAATAGTTGGAGGCACTGGATATTGCAAAGGCGGTGGGCTTTGACATGCTTCCGGCAATGGTACTGAAAACTTGTGCTCCAGAAATAGCTGTTCCCCTAGCCAAGCTGTTCCAGTACAGCTACAACACTGGCATCTACCTGACAATGTGAAAAATTGCCCAGGTATGCCCTGTACATGAATCCACACCACCCCATGTGCCTACTTTTGATCATCAGTAAAGTGTTGGAAGGTGTCATCAACAGTGCTATTAAGCGACGCCTGTTCAGCAATAACCTGCTCAGTGATGCCCAGTTTGACTTCTGTCAGGGCCACTCAGCTCCTGACCTTGGTTCAAAGATGGACAAAATGGCTGAATTCCAGAATGACAGCCCTTGACATCAAGACTGCATTTAACCAAGCGTGGCATCAAGGAGCCATAGCAAAGCTGGAGTCAAAGGAAGATTGTTGTGGTTGTTGGAGGGAAGTTATTTCACCTCCAGGACATCTCTGCAGGAGTTTCCCAGAGTAGTGTCCTGGGCCCAACCGTCTTCATCTGCTTCTTCAATGACTTTTCCTCTATCATAAGTTCAGAAGTGAGGATGTTCACTGATGGATTGCACAATGCTCAGTTACCCTCCATGACTCTTCAGGTACTGAAAGACCAAATGCAGCAAAACCTGGACAAAATCCAGGTTTGGGCTGATAAGTGGAAAACAACATTTGAGCCACGCGAATGCCAAGCAGTAAACAATCTCCAAGCATAGCTTCTTGACATTCAATGACATTGCCATTTGCTGAATCTCCCACTTACAACATCTTGGATATTGCCATTAACCATAAATTGAATTGGACAAGTCGCATAAATGAAGTGGCTGTAGGAGCGGATTAGAGGCTTGCAGTGAGTAACTAACCCCCTGATTCCCCGAAGCAAGTCAGGAGTATGATGTGACACTGTCCACTTGCCTGAATGAGTAAAACCCCAAATATACTGAAGAAGCTTGATACCATCCAGGACAAAGCAACCTACTTGACTGGCACTATATCCACAAGCAATCACTCCCTCCACCACCAATCCTCAGTAGCAGTGTGCATCATCTACAAGATGCATTGCAGAAATTCACCAAAGCTTCTTTGATTGCATCTTTTAAACCCACACCAATACTCTCTAGAAGGACAACGACAGCAGATACATGGGAATACACCACCTGTAGGTTTCCCTCCAAGCCACACACCATCCTGACATACCAATGCATCAAAATACCTTCACTGTACCTGGGTCAAAGTCCTGGAACTCCCTCCTTAACAGCACTATGCGTGTATCTACACCAAAGGCTTGCAGTTGTTCGAGAAGACAGCTCACCATCAGCTTTTCAGAGGGACCTGAGAAGGGCCCAACTGATGATGTGAATGAATTTTAAAAAATAAGAAATAAAATACCAATGTTAGTATTTGAGATAATGAGGTAATTTTACTTCGTGAAGTAATTGGCTTTGCGATGCACAATAATGAAAACTTATTTAACCTATAACTATAACCTCGCAAGTTTTATTCTCGAATCAATATACATTTCAACACTTGCAAATTTCTATTGAAATTGCCAGTTAGATTATTCTTGAAATTTTGTGCAAAATACAAAGACAATAAACATGTCCCTCAAATGATTTTTCATTAGAGACACATGCAATCATTGTTAAGAACTTGTTTTTCCGTTTGGGATGCTAACGATGAGGTCAGTTAGATAAACTATGGGATAGGAGCAGTAAGTATAGTAGAATTCTTAGTAGAATGATGTTTCACAAGTTACATGTACATGTGGCCACCCATATACAGGAACTGGAAAAATAAAAAGGTAGGCATGTATGTTCTCAGCCACCACTATAGAATCTGCACGCTGCTTATTAAGCAGTCGACGCAATAAATAGCATAACATCCATGGCACAAAATTGTCCATATCACCTGATTTATGGATATTGCTTGCATTTTTGGTATTGAGAGCAAATGAAAGCTGTTGAAAAGACATATTTTTGAAGCATGTCAAATGCTTCTGGTAGGGGAGTTAGTCAATCTGACTTGAGGCTGTGACAGGGCTGCTAAAATTGGTCATCACATCAGTTAGCTGTAGAGAGGAAGTTTTAACCAGGGCTTGGATTCTCTGCTGAAATTTCATGGGCTGGGTTCTAGCAGTGGGGTGAGGGAGGCATATCTAGAGGTCCATGGTTCATACTTACCAGCCTCCACCATTTGAACACGTTGATTCGAGCATTCATCGGCCGGTTAACATTGTGAAGAGGGATTCATGCTCAAATGGGCAGTTAGGATAGAACAACTGATTGGGGAGGATACGGGAAGTGAAGCAGAAATTGGTTCTGGTCACCAATTTCAGGTCCTCTTGTCTGTCATTCTGTCTTTACTTGTTATGTCAGCCCATATAAATGGAACAAATGATGTTTTTTCTGTCTGCCAAATACTGACACCTCCATAGCAGGCTCACTGCTATATGCAGCCATCATAATATTTGTAGGCATTTTCATCCAACCTCATGTTGTCCCCTCATGTTTGGCTGTCCCAGTGTTGCCCACATGTATGTTAAAAAGTAGAGTGTGCAACAAGAATTTTCAATTTGCCTGCTCTTTAATGAGCTCAGTAACTTGTCAATCTTGCTTTACAAAAGGGCAAGCCACCAGCCTTCTGCATTCGGAAACTTGATCACCTTCTGTATTGTCAAGGACCAGCAGGATAATGTCAGATTGCTGACCTGAAGCCATCATGCCATATTTCACATAACCCCAGGTGTGGGGTGCATCCCACCAGCTTTGCACCTGTGAAGTCAAGCCCCATCCGTAAACATTGTGAAAGGACTGGATTGAGTTCACTGAGCTGTTCTCCGTGGTAAATTAGCCAGCATTTGCACGTGAATTCTGGAAACTTTGAGGGGGGGGAAATAGTAGGCTGATGCTTTTAATGATTATCAACTTCAATATTCTCTGCAAAGAAAAGCATTCTTTACAAAGAAAGAAAAAGAAATGGAAGAGTGATTAAAACCTTGGAATCTATTGTTGTTTGGGAATTGGCAGATGGGCACTCACTGTTGGGAAATTGGCATTTGGTTATCCTTCACTGACATATGTTGGTGATCATTGGAATGGGTTAA